TTTGTAAGAGGACTTTTCTATTTCTCAGCGGAATTTTCTTTTTACATAGCGGACTTTAGATGTACTTTACTATCATCATGCGGCACTTTTCCCTTAACAGAAAGATAGACGTTTATATATGTGATTCATTGAAATACACGAATAATAAACAAATTGAATTGATTAAATCAATTGAGAATAATATATTTCGAATAGATGGATTATGTAACAAAGCGTTATATTTAACTTTAAGCATACATTTCCATTTAATCAATATATTATTGTAAATTAGTCGACTTTATCTTTCATATAAAACATGATCGAGGAGGAAACACTAATTATTGACATTGTTGGTTAATAAACGAGTAAAATATAGGAAGTAAAAGGCACGTATTTACTCATTATTGCATATTAATCGTTTCTATGAGTATAAATATGTAATAAATTTAATTATACTAGATAGTATATAATGATAATTAATGTATTTATTGTGTCATCGATTAGTCAGATCATCGATGAATATATTAAATAATATATTAATATATGACTACTTCATTAGAACTTCATTATCAATTCATCTTGATTTTTTTAAATAAGAAAACAAAAGATGTGATTTTTTTATTGTCTAGTCTTGTGTTTAATTATTGTTAAGAAAGTAAATGTTCAAATTATTCTTGTTGTTGATATTAATAAAAAAAACGATTATTTTAGATTTATCTATTATAATTAAATACTGAAATCTAATTTATGATTGTAATTGTATTGTTTATCATAGCATGATTCAATATTATTTGATAGATTAGAACAAAAAATTATCGTCATTTATAGTTTAAGATACTATTGAATAAAACACAACTATATATGATATTTATCATATTATACTTGGTTAATAAATTTTCAATTGTCAGTCGAAAAAGAATCTAAAACAAAGAATCACTTGATTATAAAAGACAGTTAATCCTCTATCCATCTCGAGAATAAAATCGGAAATAATAATTTTTATTTAAACTAAGTAATTCAAATCTAGTAAACAATATTTGAAAAAACAAAAAGACGTTTTTTTATTATTCAATATTTCTGATCCATAATTATTGATAAAATATCTAGATCAATTTATTGTGATAAATATATTTTTCAATAAAATCTGGCATGTGAACGCTCTATTCCAAAAAAGGAGGAATAGGGAGGATTGTCATTGAAAATTTTAGGAGGATCTGGCATCAAAAAGGAGGAAAATAGGAGGATTTCTGTTTTCTCTTGGAAAATGTATTTTATGCATCATTTTAAGTTATCACGATGCTTTTTTATTGTCTATACGATATTCGATAGATTGCCACCCTTTATTTCCACAACATAAATCCTTAGTTTTACACAATGTACAAATGAATGAATGATAATTTTGCTCCTTGATTCAGTTATCGCTTAACAGCAATAGCATCTGAATTTATTTTTTTCAACTATGAAATATTAAATCGTATTACATGAAGAAGTATTTAACGAAAACGTAGTTATCTAATAATAGTTTTCTTGAAACGATTGGGTGTAGTACTCTAATAAAAAATGTATTTTAATTTTCAAGAAAAGTTTTCCTTTAACTCGAGTTTTTGACAATCTCTCGTTGTAATCGTCAGAAGATGATCATATAGAAATGTAAAAAAATAATATACATATGACTGAATTGCAACTTTTTGCTACGGATGAATTTTTAGTTGTATTTTGTCAATAATTTTCGTTCTGGTGAATTGATTCAGACGAATTTTTTACATGTTACTGGTCTTTGAGTGTCTCACTGGCACACAAAAATTTCGCTCTCTAGCTCCTACGATTGCTGAGTTATGAGGGTTACACTGTTATAAAATCGCATCTTACATAAAGATATACTGAGAAAATCGAATTTTTTCAATAAAAGAGGAAAGCGAAAAAATATAATGAGTAGATCATTTTGTACAGCTTGAAATACTCTATCACGTTATATATTTATTGTATTTTTTTCTTTTTGCATAAGTTCTTATTAAAAACTTCTTGATATGTTACACAAAAAAAAGTTATGTAATTATAATTTGCTAGAAGAAACAACGCAGGAAAAGAAAAAGCGAAAAATCTTGTATGATTATTGTATAATGTTGTTTGTCGTTTCTTTTGCTCTTTTTTTGCTCCTAGGAAATTGTAATTATATTATCTTTTGATGCTACTTATTAAAACTTATAATATATATCCCATGTGAAAAAAGTAGGCAAAAACTACTTTTTAGTACTTTTAAAAGTTGTTTTTAAACAGCAAATAGTACTTATCAGTGAACCTTTTTATTTAATTTTCATATTTTTTGACAAAAAAGTAGTATTAAATACTATTGAAAGTATGAAAAAGTAACAAAATTTATTGAGAAAGGTGGAAAACAGTAATAAAATTTAATTTATTTTACTATATTAATATTAACAGTAATTAATAATCTTGTAAACGCTAAAAAGTATGTTCAGTATTAATATAGTAAAATAAATTAAATGTTATTACTGTTTTTCACCTTTCTCAGTAAATTTTATTACTTTTTCACACTTCCAATAACACTTAATAGTATTTTTTTAGTCAAAAAAAGTATGAAAATTACATAAAAAGGTTCACTTATAAGTACTATTTGCTGTTTAAAAACAATTTTTAAAAGTACTAAAAAGTTGGTTTTTGCCTACTTTTTTTTCACAGGGGATATATGTATACTTCTTTTTCTATTTGTATATGTTTATTGCATGCTGATGATTATTCTAAATTGCCAAAAACTCGAAATAAAGATTGATATTGGTTGAAAATTAAAATACATTTTTTGCCGCAGTAATAAACTCAATCGTTTCAAATATCTTCTGAACTGTAGGAATCGCCAAATATTTTTCTTTAAGATGTTGAAGATACTGATTCCACAACTTAAGTGATAAAAAGGAGGAATAGTAGGATTCTGACGTAAAAAGGAGGAGAAGGAGGACATGTTTCGAGAAAAAGGAGGAAAAGGAGGAGGTTTCACATGCCAGATAAAATCGGTATATTATATGCGATACGAAATTAATCAATCGATTTAAACTCACATTTAGTGTTTTTTGTTACATAAAGACTTGATATATATTTATCCTTCATTATTAATAAAGGAGAAGCTAATAACAATAGAAAAGTCAGTTGAAGACATAAGTATCTATTACCACATTCGACAGACAGAAAAATATACGCAATCATCTTATTTATATTCATTTTACGTATTTCATTGCAACGTGTTTAAGCCAAGTAAAATAAAAAAAAGTTTATAACTTTAGAAAAATCTGTTGAAGAAACAGATATCCATTGGCACTTAAGGAATACAAAAAAAATATACGTAATCATCGTATATATAGTCATCATGAATGTGACAGCTACATACTTGAATAGGTGAAACAAATGAAAAAGAAAAAGGCTATCAGCTATACAAAAGTCTGATAAAGAAAAGTAATATCTGCCAGCACATTAGATAAAAGAAAAATATTGGCAAGCATCTTATTTATAGTCATTATATGTACTTTATAGCCATGTTTGTAGAAACAAATATACATCAGCAGATTATATAGACAAAAAAAATACACAAACAACTTGTTTATATTCATCGAATGGCTTTCGTCTATTTTTTAATAGATAACATGATAGAACAAGAAAAACGACTAATACCTATACAAAAGTCCACTGAAGAAGCAAATATGCACTAACAGATTACTTATACAAAATATAAACACAAACATCCTGTTTATCGTCATTAAAGGTATATCAAAGATAAATATTAAAACAGATAAAATAAAAAAGAACGAACTAAATTTCAGCTGTAGAAAAGTCCGTTGAATAAACGAATATCCGCTAGTATATTAGATAACAGAACACAAACCACCATATCTTATTGATGGTATTTCAAAGTATTTCATCGTTTCCTGTTTCAACATATAAGAGGAAACTAAAACAGAAAAACTAAAAGCTAAAGAAAACTTCTTAGAACAAACAAATATACTCTAACGCATTAGATAAATGCAAAATATTCGCAAACATTCTATTTGTAGTTATTCTATTTTTTCATATATTCATGTTTATATAGATAAAAATATAACAAGTTATAGGAAAGTCCGCTGAATAAAGTGATATCCACAAGCACATTAGATATAACAAGAAAATAGGCCATCATCTTATTCATATTCATTCCATGAATTTTACAGCTGCATGTTTGAACAGATAAAATAAAGAAAATAACGAAACTGATACCTACACAAAAGTCAGATAAAAACAAACTATCAGTATCATATTTGATGAACAAAAGATCCCCTCATTCACTTTATTTGTAGTCACTTTATGTGTTCCATAACTGACTGTTTGAATAGATAAAAGTAAAAAACAAACAGCTATAGCAAAGTTCGCCTGAGAAACAAATATTCACTAGCATATTAGATATATGAAAACTATGCTCAATCATCTTGTTTACAGTTATTGAATCTGTTGTGTCTATTTTTCTATAGATAAAATGAAGAACAAGAAAAAAAGTACTAGTAGTTTTTGAAAGAACCTATGGAGAAGCAAATATACGCTAGCACATTAAATATAAGAAGAATATAAACCATCATCTTCTTTATTAGTCATTTTATGAATTTCATAACTACATATTTGAATAAATAGAATAAAAGAAAAATAAAATAAAATTATAGCTATGCAAAAGTTCTTTCAAAAAAAGTAACATCTACTAGCAGATCAGATATACGAAAAATATT